TAAAGAAAATGCAATAACAAACTCAACTTTACTTATTATAATAAAGTAATATAGTTTCTTGGGAGTTTCTCTAACCGACAACCATCACTTAAGAGCCATAGTGATGATACAACACTTTACCTCACGCTGCCAAGGACCATCCTATACCTTGCCATCAGTATAGGACCTAACTTAACTTAGTGGATCCACTAGTCTATGCGAAAAGGATTCATCTAAAAAGTATGACCTTTTTCTACCCATGATGGCTACATGGTTTTCATGGAGGCTTGAGTTAATAGGAAACTCGCATCCCCACATTGGGGCTCAATAATACTCCCAAAATATAATACTAGCTCTTTATTTTTAAAACATACTTCTTTCGTTACTCAAAACTTAGCTTAAAAGTTCTCTTGGAATCGATGTTTCCTTTCTTGCTCAAAACTCTTTTGGAAATCTCAGTTTCCTTTCATCTTAAATGTGAAAACATTTACTCTTGGAAATACTTAGTTCCCATATATCATTTTAAAGAAAATGAATTTTCCTCTTACTCTTTACTCAACTTCAAAGTTGAAGTCTTAAAACAAAGTTTAAACATTTGTAAGACTTCTAAAAATATGGTTTATGTCGATTTATGGACGTGAACAACTCAATGCAAGGTTTTCAATAACCATAGATAGAACTCAATGCTTGAAACTCAAGAACTTCAAAAATACTACTCAATTCAAGAATGCTCAACTCAGAGAGTTCATGCGGAATTTATGAGCATGAACTACTCAACTCAAGGACTCGAATATACTTCTCGTTTCAAGATTGCTCGACTTATAGGGTTCATGTGGAATTATGGACACGAATAACCCAACTCAAGGACTTCATGGGTAGCATGTAATAGTCCCATGATTAGGAATGTAATCTCAAATGGGTTAGAAACTCAATACTTAAGACTTAGGACATGGGGACATTACTCCTCTCAAATATACTCAACTTATGGAGTTCATGTGAAATTTATGGGCATGAACGACTTGACTCGTAGGTCTACATAACATTATGGAACTCATGTATACAACTCTTCTCTTTCTCTTACTTACTTCCTCAAAAACTTAACTCAAATTGATGATGGATCTCAAAGGATTCACAATTGAACTCAAAACTTTCTTGAACTCTACTTTTTAAACTCTCTCTTGAATATGAATTATGAATTCAAGAGTTATGGTTCATGCTATGAAAGATCTCATGATGACAAGTAGACTCATGAATACATTCTCCTCACTCTCATGCTCACTTACTCGAATCTTAAAATAAGTTACTAGAAGTTGTAGAAGACTCCACAAAAGGACTCAAAGGGACTTTCTTAGAATGTTTAAAAAAATTCTCAAAACTTAACTCTTAGCTCTACCTTGAATTTGAATTATGAATTCAAGGTTATGATCATGTTATGAATGGTTTCTAGGTGTTTAGAAGTAGCTTAGAGTAGTTAGAATCGAAAAGGAGTGAAGGTGCCCTTTAAACGAACTCAAACGGGGCAACCGACAACAAACTTGAGGGGGCAGGCGACCCTAGCGCTATGGGTGGCACGGGGCGCCAGCCCCTAAACTTCAGAGGAGGGTTTGGGGTGCTCTGGCTGGCGCATCGCGCCAGGCCCCAACCCAGAAAATCGACGAATTTTCCTTGCTCGTTTTCTCACTCTAACTCACCTAGAATCGAGCGATTTCTTCCCCAATCACTTAGAATTGATTACTTAACATAAGTACACTCTAATCTACTAAATACATCCCTTAAAACACTCACTTTGATCTCAAGAAATCATCCAAAACCCAACTCATCAAGAACTCAAATCTTTCAACTTCAAGAATGAAATTTCGCTGAAAAAATAATATGATTGGCGTGTGGGTGAACAAATCCAACACTATGGAAGCTTACATACCTCTTAGATATTAAACCCATGGCGAAAATCCGCAACAAGACGTAAGAATCTCGACGAACGCTTGATCCTCTCCTCTTTTCTCCTCTTTTCTCTTCTTTTCTCTTCTAAACGAATTAAATTTGATTGGGTAAGGAAACGACCAAAATACCCCTCACTATTTCCGGCTAACCTTCCTTAACTGGACAGCCTAACTTCAAAAGGTCATATCTCACTCATCCGACCTCGAAATTTAACAAACTCGGCGGCGTTGGAAAGATAATTCAAAGGTCTTTCCTACGGTATCTGGTATCACACCTAACTCATCTTGAACTAGAAGTTATGATCGTTTGAAGTCGACACAAAACTCATACTTAGCTTAACTTGCAAAATTTCAGATTTTGCTATTTTCAATTTAATTCTTTTTGGAACTCAAGGTGTTACATCTAGTGACCTTAACACTTAAGAAATTTTAA